CAATGTAGGAAGACAAGCAGGAAACTATTATAACAAAGCAAATGACTACTATAACCAAGCAGGACACTATATGGACCAAGGTGAAAGATTCTTTAACAGAGGATATAACCATGCACAACAGTGGGTAAACAATAACCAACCTCAACCGCCTCAAACGTGGGGAATGTAAATTTTTTTACTGAGATGAAATGAACAATACAGCATTGAGACAAATGGGTTCAAGATGGATTTGTCGACTTCCAGCAGTTACACAACCACGTGTTTGTCAAGTTCTTCCTATACCTCAGGAAGTTTTAGACCGACTTAAAAAACAACAACAACCAGTTGAAAACAAACCAAACTAAAATTTTTTACTGAGATGAAATGACCGAAGAAGTTGAAACGGTAGATTTGACACCACAAACAAAAAGTTCAGAACCATTGTCAAAACCTGTCAAAGAACTTACAGATGAAGAGAAAATTCAATAATAGAAAGTGCCAGGTCTGGAAATACAAACCCTAACTATAAAGTCACTTTTCATAGAAATGGAACGGCTAGTATCTCAAAAAAGAAACAGACTCTCACAAATAAAATATTGAAGTCTGAAGGAGCTTTCGAGACAACAGATGGAAAAGTTTACTTCACCGATCAACAGTTCATTATAGAACATCTCATTGACTTAGAGTCGAAATATTCTAAACTTTACAACAAACACAAAAAGTTGAAAGGAAAACAAAAACAGATGGCATATGATATTTATGAAGATGTTGACGACACTACTGTTCCAGCAAGTGAGGTAAAGTCAAATGAACCGAAAAGTGACGAAAAACCAATAGAAGAAGGGAAGCCAAAAACTGAAGATAAACCAAAACCAAAGTTTAGTCTGGAGACTAAACCAAGCCAACCTTCATTAGCTGGTATGGGTTGGCGTCAAAGACTTATGGCAGCCGGTGGTTATGTTAAGTAAAGGAAAACAGTATATTTTTCAAAAAAATATTTTTTTTATTTTATTTGAAATGTACGCTGAGTTTGTTGGAACAGACCGTTGGGTTTGTTTCGATGAAAATATGAAATTCACTGTTGTGAGTCATTTGAAGTCAGAAACAAAAAGACAAAAAGAGTTTTAAGCGAATGGGAGCAAAATGACGGATATGCTAGGATGAGGATTGGTGGAAAACACTATTTTAAACATGTTGTCATTGCAACTCATTTTATACCGAATCCTAACAATCTACCTTTTGTAGACCACATAAACCATATAAGAAACGACAATAGACTTGAAAACTTACGCTGGGTCACTTGTTCTGAAAACAGTAAGAACATAGGCAAATTTAGAGATATTGTATTCGAATTTGTCGACGAACTAGAAGATGAAGCAATTGAAATTACAGACTATGGCAAGCATACGTTTGAGTTTTACTACTACAGCGAAGAACAGGACTCTTTCTACCTTTATACCGGCGTAAACTATAGAAAATTACAAGTATGTTTTACTAAGGCGGGCTATGCTTATGTAAACACTAGAGATACAGATGGAAAACACGTTCATATATTTCTCAACAAATTCAAGAAGCTATATGGCATACCATTTTAAAAAAAACATTTTTTTATTTTTATAAAAATGCCCCCATATAGAATGGATAGAAAATCTGCTAGAATAAAAGCAGAGTTGCAAAGATATGGTTGGAAAGTTTCAAAGAATTTTAAATATAGGAAGGGAAGACCCATAAAAGTCTATGACAAATTGTCTGGTCTTCGCTACGAAATGGATTTGGAAACAGCACGCGCAAATTATCCAAACAGACTAGAGAGGTTAGAAGAAGAACGTCTTATGGACATGCCTTTCGATGTTTCTGAGCCTCAAGTTGAAGGACACGACGGCTTTGCCAGATTCTACTGGAAACATGACGAACAATTGCATCCTTTGAGAAGGAAAAAAGGAAAAGGTGAAGACACACATGCTCCCATGGAAAGAACAAGATATGCATATGAGAAGTATCGTGAAGTTAGAAGTAAAATTACATCTGGTCGAACCTTTACAGTAAACTTTGACGAAGGAAAGAACAAAGAAGGCTTCATGGGTGTACTTGCTGCCATTCAAGACGGAAATAAGAAAGGACACAATCTCAGACTAACCGTAACAGATTTAGATGGTCATATATACTATGCGCATGGCAATGAACAAACAGCCGCACAACTTCTTGACGCTTTCAAGACTACAAAGAGAGAACAAATGGTTGACTCCGACTCCGATATTTTGAATGGAATTGAAGGAATTGTAAGCGTGAAGTTCGAATGGCACAAAAATAACCCTCAAGCAGTCAGACAACTTGTTTGTTAGATGAGAAATATGAAATGGCATACCATTTTAAAACATTTTTTTTAAAACAGTATATTTTTACATATATTAAATGTTTCAGGTTGAAAAACAAAGAACAAAAGTAGCAGATACAAAACCGTTAGACTATATCTTTACAAATGCCGGTAGGACTATATCAGATGAAGAAATTTCATCCGGCTCCTACCGCTTTGACTTTCCAATTCGTTGGCTTCAAAGTCCTTCAGATGCAAAGGCAATAGGATTTAGAAGAGTTTTGTTTTCAAAAAGAACTAACGCGTTTATGTTTGCAGTATATTTTCATGGTCAGTATAGAGGTTCTGATGGTCTACTAGACAAATTGATGAAATGAGAATCTTTACAGTTCGTTCAGACGAAAGTCTTGAGAAGACTCTAAATGACTTTCAAACTCAATAAAAACAAATACTACTGGGAATTTCAAGAAAAATACGATTCTTTACTAAATGGAACATACTATCTGAAACTAGAATATGACAAGATGAACTCCACAGTTTCATTTCAAAGGATTGAAAATAACCCTCCAAGAGATACACAGTTTTTATTTTGGCAAGTAGACAAACGTTCTTGGGCACAATTTCTTCGGTTACTAAACCAGAACGAACCATTACCACCTGACGGTCCGTTCTGGTTTATACGCCCACCAACAGATTTGACAGTTTATAGAAACGTGTTTGACCCTCAAAATGTCATGTGTCATGCAAGTTTCAGTTCAAGCAACAATAGTTTTCTTTGTATTGGTAAGGACTTTTATGACTTTGCTTCTAAATTCTACGAACCACCTAGTAACAGTTTCTCTGACTTTCAAGTTTGGTTCACAACAAATGGTGTGCAACATATTGTTCCATTGTACTACGACTTTTATCTCGAATTGTCTTTCATATATAACTACGGAGAAGTGCTGAAAAAGTATTGAAAAATATATTTTAGGGTAGAAGGGTATATCTACCCCGTTTTCTACCCTCTTTTCTACCCTCTTGAATTTTCATGAATTTCCTTAAGATAGAAAAAAATATATTTTAGTTTTATTTTTTTTAAGTTTGGTCATCCTTCACTGTATGACAAAATATACTATATTTTACTTAAAAATATGCAAGCGGCTCATAGCTCAGTGGTATGGGCTACCTCGCTACAGACGTCGAAGACCTCGGTTCAAATCCCGATTCGCGCAGGTTTTTTCCTTTTATGCAGTGAAATTTCATGTACATAGGTTACTTTGGTGTTAGACCCTAGTGAAGAAAATAGAACGATATAAGTTTACATTTGTAAGGTTACTTTGGTGTTAGACCCTAGTGAAGAAAATAGAACGATAGGAGTTTACATTTGTAAAGTTGGACGATAAAAATCTTGCTACTAGCAGTACTGCTACTGTCAGTAAAAGTCCTTCCATCAGACAGGAAAAGTTCTTCCATCAGACAGGAAAAGTCCTTCCATCAGACAGGAAAGTTCTTCCTTCCGACAGGAAAAGTTCTTCCTTCCGACAGGAAAAGTTCTTCCAGTTGTCCGTCCGTAAACCATTCAAATTTTCGAAAATTGAGAACTTTTCCTGTCGAACTTCAGGAAAAGTTCTTCCTTCCGACAGAAAAAGTTCTTCCTTCCGACAGGACACAAACGGATGTCCGACAGGAAAAGTTCTTCCTTCCGACAGGACACAAACGGATGTCCGACAGGAAAAGTTCTTCCTTCCGAGTCCATTCCCAAGCCAGTTCACGAACAAATCTAATGGCGAAACATTCACAAAAGGCACTTACAACGGTATTGAAGTCTTACGTAGAGACAAGGATGGTTATATAAATGCAACAAATATGTGTCAGCAGTTTAGGAAAGACTTTAGAAGGTTGTTGGAAAATAAGTCCTGGGAAGAGTATTTTGAGGCATTTTGTGAAGAATATACCAACCCGCGGAAAACAGCGGGTTGCTTTTTATACAAAATTCATGCAGGAATTCCTGATGAAATCAAACAGGTTAGAGGAACGTATGTAGACCCAAGACTCGTAAACTATATTGCAATGTGGGCTTCTCCAAAATATTGTATAGCAGTTGGAAAAATTCTGGACTCCATAGACAAGAAAGTTCATGAGAAGTTAGATGAAGAAGAACTTGAAGATACAGTAGAGAATGCAAAACCTTTGTTTGAAGAAGAAGTTAGAAAAATGCATGAAAAACAAATAGAACATGAACGTGAGATATGTTCTGGTTATAGAGACCCGCCATACGAACTAAACCAATGGGAACAAGAAGATTTAAAGAGAGAATTTAGAGAATATGAACTCGCTAAGATAGCATTAGAAGCTGCAGAAAAGAAGTTAAAAGCTTGGGGTTGTTTTGTACAAAAATATTGTGAGTAAATGAACCATTTTTTTCGACAAAAATATATTTTAGGGTAGAAGGGTATATCTACCCCGTTTTCTACCCTCTTTTCTACCCTCATGAATTTTCATGAAATTTATACAGAAAATGCTTGTTTTGAGGTCGAGCCACTTTTGGCTCCACCGTATTCTTTCAACCAAAACTCATGAATTCAATAAAAATATATTTTAGGGTAGAAGGGTATATCTACCCCGTTTTCTACCCTCTTTTCTACCATCGTAGAAAACACACAAAACTCTTGAATTTTGTTGCTGAATTCAATAAAAAAATATTTTTTATTTTTATTGTAAGAACATGTTAGCAACAACAGCACCAAACTCGTTAGTCATGAACCCAACTTCAATGTTAGTAGAGATGAAAAGCTTCATTCCTTCTTCATATACTTTCGAAACAGAAATCCAGAAGATAAAGCAGGAACTTCTCCAAGGAGATTTAGACTGTAGTGCAAAAGATGAAACAAATGAACAGTATCTTTATGAAATGCAAGATATTATAGACCATTTGCCTAAACTACCTGAAATACAACAACAAAAACTCACTATTCCAGAATTCGATGAAATAGAAGTGAAACCATCTGACTCAGTTGAAATAAAGAAGTTCATACGTAATGTAAACTATGAGTTTCTTGGATTTCATTACAACCACAAAGACTGCGATATGGTATATTTCATTGACATATATAAATCTGAAGAATTTAAGACCTACGACAACTTTGTTTCGTTAGTTGCTGAGTGTGTCTTGCAGATAAGAGATAAAGATAGAAGAGGTAAGGTATGGAACCAACAGATAAAACCAGCAGCCTTTGAGTTAAAGAAGACCATCTACGCCTTACTTGTTTTAGCAGGACAAATTTCAGAATATAACGCAAAAATGAACTCACAATGTTCAAAATGTAAAGCAGCAACAAGGAAATATAACTACTCCGTCAAAGAGATAGAAAGAATGAGAAACGACTATGCTGATTTAAAGAAAGAAGTAGAGAAACCAGCAGAAGATAAAATGGACATGTTGACATTTCTGAACAAAAACTATCCAACAGCTGACGATTTCCTTCTATCTGATGTCAAGAAGAAGTATAAAGAAACTTTCGGCATTGTTAAAATTTTTGATATCCTTCGTGAAGAAATAGAAGCTACAAAACTGTTTAAAGTCATGAACCATCACAACATATACCATGTAAAACGCTTGTAAATAGTTATGGTAGAAATGAGGGTAGAAAACGGGGTAGATATACCCTTCTACCCTAAAATATATTTTTATTGAATTCTGTATAAAATTCTGAGTAAAATGACATATGGAACACATACTTTTTCAGTAAGGACATATGGGGTAGAAATGAGGTAGAAAACGGGGTAGATATACCCTTCTACCCTAAAATATATTTTTGTCTGATTTACGCTCATTACGAAGAAGTCTTGACAAAACATTTACGAAGAAGTATATTTCCTGTGTTGTTGTCAAAATGTCATGTTGTCACACTTTTTCAGAGAAGTTCATTTAACCGAGTGACCTGGTCGCCTAAAATATATTTTATTGAATTCTGAGTAAAATGACCAAATTTCATGAATTTCCTTAAGATAGAAAATAAAAGCTAGTTTTTTTAAAATATTTTTTTTTATTTTGTATGTAAGAACAGGAAATGACAAACACTGAGTTTGAAACAGTTAGAAAGATAGACAATGACACCAAAATGGTTAGAATTGGTGATTTAAACGTAAGATACTCAAAGAAATACAACAAATATTCTTTGTCAGACATTCTAACACTATCTGGAAAGAGAGCAAAGGACTGGGTTAAAATTGCTTCAACTCAGAAAATTTTGACAAGAAATCCTGAGCTTATGATATCGGTAAGATTTCATGGAACTACAGCATATCTTATAGACAAAAGTCTTATACCACTAGTTTTGTTCTGGATTGACCCAGTTGTTGGATATAATTTCATAACATATGGTTCATTCGATACTGAACGTTGCAGTGAAGGCTTACTTTACATCGTTCAGAAACCGAAGGACTTCAATACAAAGAGATATAAGATAGGAAGAACATTTAATATAACTAAAAGATATGACTCTGCAGTCAATAGAGTTAAGGTTGTGTTTGTTAACGATATGAGAGCTGCAGAAACAGAACTGCTTGAAAAGTTTGAGAAAATGTATGGTGCTCCCACGAAAGGTAAAGAAACGTTTGAAGTAGATGAGATAGAGAAAGCTATAAAATTATTTGACGAAGTTGCTGAAAAATACATGTAAAGCGTTTATTTTTGGTCTTTTATACAAGATAGAAAATAACGCTAATTTTATTTTTTTTTATTTTTTTATCCTGTATGTAAGAACAGTAATGTCAACATCAGAGAACACAACAACAGTTATAGTCCATGAAGCTATAAATGAAGAATATGAGTACATACAGTTTAACAAACAACTCCGTCTCATTCGTTCGGTCAAAGATGACATGTACCAAATGCAAAGTATTTTGACAGCATGTTTTGCTCCAGATACTAAGAAACCACAAGACTGGTTTAGGAACCAAAGCACACAAGAACTTTTGAGCGAAGCACAGCGAGACATACTTTTTTCTGAAAACAGTGAAGAACAGCGAGTAAGTAAAAAACCGCAGTCGCCAAAACTCTATGAAAACAGTGAAGAACAGCGAGTAAGTAAAAAACCCCAGTCGCCAAAACTCTATGAAAATCGTGAAAAATTGCCAAACGGTTTGAGAGGATATTATGTACATAGACTTCTTGTAAATGCTGTTGCAATGTGGGCGTCACCTCGCTATGCTTGGAATATATACAGACTTCTTGACGAAATTCATAGACAAGAACGTGAAGAGCTAGAGAACAAGCTTGAAGCAAAAGACAAAAGCATTCAGAAAAGAATACCACGTTCGGTACCAAAAGGAAAGGAAAAGAACTATAAGTATATGATTTATACTGAAGAGATGGAAAATGAAGAAGATAAAGATATGGTTATATTGCATTTAGTCAGAAGAAACAACAAAAGCTTTTACGACCTTGCTAAGATTTACAAATCTGACAGAAATTGGTTCTATCGCGAAAACTTACCGATTTCAATGACACCGAATGAAGATGTGAAACAAATAGTTCAAGATACGTTACCTCAAACACACTATGATATTAAAGGTTGTACAATTCTTACATTCAAAGAAGATTTGCCATTGTTAAAGGAAAAAATAACAGAGTATTTTGACAACTTCAAACAAGTAGAGTAGATGAACCATTTATTTTTACGCTTGACTTCAGATGGCTCAGGTAGCTCTATAAAGTAAATTGCCTCGTCAAATCCTTCTGGCATTCCGAGTCCTTCCATCCGACAGAAAAAAATTTCCCGACAACTGGAAAAAAATTTCCCGACAACTGGAAAAAAATTTCCCGACAACTGGAAAAAAATTTCCCGACAACTGGAAAAATTTTTCCTGTTGTTCGTCCGTAAACCATTCAAATTTTCGAAAATTGAGAACTTTTTTCCCGACAACTGGAAAAATTTTTCCCGACAACTGGAAAAGTTCTTCCATCCGACAGGACACAAACGAATGTCCGACGTTCCTCTTCCTGAATGTCTTCCAAAGCCAGAAGAACCGACAGCCCCAGCACCACAACAGACTAAGACTAAACACTTACATTTTTCAAGCTTGACTTTTTACAATTTGAACTTTGTTCGCGTAGATATGAATTCTGAAAGAAGTATGAGGGTCTTGTATGACTTTGTACTTCTCCCATAGTTCATGTCTGTCAAACTTACCTGCCATGGACTCTTTCATAAGTTCATGAAATCGTCTTCGGACAATCCAGGGAAAAGTATGATATCAGTAAGTATTCTTTTAACATCCTTACTTAAACTCTTGGCTGTCTGTACACAAATGACAACTGAGATGTTAAAGTGTCTGAGCTTCTTAAGAATTCGACACATGTCTTGTTCTCTGTTCTTTAACAAAGGATGAGAAGCAAAGTCATCTAAGATAAGAAGACATCTGTGAGGGTAAGTCTTCCAATCGTAAGATTGCAATTTCTTCGAAATGTATTCTATCTCTTTCTGTTTGTTTCTGAAGTGTTTCTTCTCTAATATTCTCTGCATTTCCTCATTTGGGTCTTTAACCTCGAATTGACATACTCATTTATAGCATTGTACTTCAAAACTCTTCTTTGGTACTTCTTTATCCAATCTAACAACTCAGAGTCTTTTATACATACTAACTTAGACTTTTTTATAATATCTTTGAACGAATTTACGGTTTTGATCGAATTGACCAGAAGTACTACAAATAACAACTAACTCATAGAATGGGTTCTTCTCATCTAGTTCTTGTTGTTGTGCAGCCATTTTAAGATAAGTGAAAGTCTTACCCGACCCAGGTGTGCGATTAGACCTGTATACCATTCTGAGCAAATAAGAACTTGCATGTATGGGTTTTATCTGAGCATTTTCTAACTTCCTCTTGTTCTTGTTTAAAACATTCTCAAATTTTTTGTCAATGTCAGCAAACTTTTTTTCTAACATATTTTTAGAAAAATTAAAATTTTTATCTTTTTGAAAATGTCTAGCGATTTCGCTATCTATATTCGAGACAAACTTTTTGACAGCAAAACATCTGTCGACCATAAAATCTTACATAGTGTAAACAAGAAAGGTGAATTTGTTCTAAAGTTCTGTTTCTGGGAATATGACAAGAACCATAAAACCTTAAGCAGAGAAGTCTTAAAATTTGTCAATGACAGACTTGTTGACAGAGATGACGCCGATTGGAAAGATGAAGTCCAACAAAAGTTCTTAGAATGCAAAGAAGACACATGCGCTGTTCTTGAAGATGAAATAGAAAACAGAATAGAAGAGCTATTAAAGGACAAAGACCTTTTACATAAATATGGTTGCGCCAAATTTGACATAACTCCACCAGAGAAGAAGAAGAAGAGAGAAAAGAAAGAAAAGAAAGTAGAAGAAAAGAAAGTAGAAGAAGAGAAGAAAGAACCAGAGCCAGTTCCAGAGAAGGTGAGATATGACATGTAAAAATAAAATTTTATTTTTAGAACATTTCTGGGTCAATGTCAATGTTCTCTTCCTCTTTAGGAGTAAACACTGGCTTAGACTCTAAAATCTTTTTACCCAATTTACCTTGAACTTCAACTATCTTAGACTCATAATATTCATAGTCGTCTGCTTTCTTTGGTTCATAAGGTATAACAAGTTTGTATGCTTTGCCTTCTTCGAGTTTTGAGAACCTTCTGTCAAAATTTTCTTTGACTGCTAACAAACCTTCTATGTCTAAGTCTTCAAATTTCGCACCATTTTTAGTCACAATAGCAAACTTAACTGGTTCGATGTTCCAAACTTTGTCAAATGTAGACTTTTCAAAATGGTAGAAGTAAACATTCAAATATATGAATGGGTCTAGTTCTTCTTTGACTTCTGTCATGTACTTATTTACTGAAATATATTTCGTCATCTTTTCTATCGGATAAAAAAATATTTTTTTAAAATTTACTCAGAAAAATTTTTCTTTGTATATACGCCGTTCTGAACATCTAAAAGACTTTTGACATTTGCCAAGAATGTACGTTTAGAAGCTGCCATATAACCATACTCTTGACAATATTGTTTATATGAATCGTACAATGACCTTTCATCTAAACACTCAAAGTTAGTCTCATCTATAAACAGTTCATATACACTCTTGTTTGCTTCTAACAATGTTTGTCTCTCTTCGTATATGGAATTTGTCTTGGATTGAACTTAGAAATATCTAATGTCATGAAATATGAGAACAAGTGGTTGTAAAAGTTAGGTGTCAAAGTTTCTGCTAAGTCGTCAAAATATTCTGTATCTTGCATATGAGCTTCTGACGTTCTGACAACTACATATCTTCTGTCAGAACTTTCTAACTTCATCGGAACGGCGTTGTTTGAAACCATGATGAAATTTGCAACATTTTCACAAACTCTTTGTCTTTATATTTTCTTTCAACAACTCCAACTTTGTCTGTTATAAGACTCTTCAAAGCATCTGAGTTTAAAACCTTTGTTGTATCTATACTTTGAAGTTCGTTACATACTATAAGTTTCATATTCTCTATTGAAGAGTTAATTTACCGCGCAGATGTTTTCTAAGTTTGTCATATTCGGGTTCGAATAACCTTCTAACAGTTTGCATAAGATATCTGTTAAAGAAAGTGTTCTTACCAGTTTCCTTTGTTTTCCAATTATGATGAGAGCAGTTTTCATTTTTAGCACTTGGATATTGTAAGATGTTTGCAAACCAACATAAGATATACTCATAAACCTTTTCGTTTCCATTGCATATAATTTCTTTGACATGGTCTAAACCAAGCTTCTATAATATTTTCTTTCCATTCTACTTGTTCGTATTTATATCCAGTGAAGATAGAATAGAAGTTTGGAGAAGGTGTATAGAACTTTATACCTCGAACTGAAAAATCTTCTAACTTTGACAATAAGATATCCCAAGCATCTAACATCTTCATTCCAACTTGTACAACTTTTATTTTCTTAAGTTTCTGTCTACATTCTTGTTCAGACACTATTGTTGCTCTTGGTTTGTTAAAGACAACATCCCATTCTTTCATGACATAACATTCTGGGCAGAGTCAACATAAATGACTAAACGTTTCAAATTCTCGACTGCTTTGTTATAGTCTCTAAATGGACACATATTTTCTGAAGGCTTGGAAGTCATAAAAATCTGAAACATCTATTCTGTACATTTTTTATAAAAATAAAAAAAATATTTTTTTTATTCTTGACTTTGTTGTTGCATTTGTTCCATTTGTTGCATTTGTTGTTCTTGAGCTATTTTTGTTGAAGTTGTTCTTGTAATACAATACTTTCACCAGTTGCATCTTCCAATTCGAAACTTTCTGCCGTCATTGACAAATACATAGGACATAAAAGTTTACAGGAACAAAGTTTGCGTCGACTAAGGTTAAGTTTATGTTTGCTAAAGTGTTTGAGTTTACTAAAGCTGAAAACTCTGCATTCGAATGAACAATAGGCAAACCAGCAGAAAAGTGTTGTTTATACGCATGAGTATCTTTTGGTCATAGTAGTTTCTGTCGACATTCGAATAGCACTTTGAACCTAAGTTTGAAACAATATATAAAATAGGTGTACTTAAAGTCAATGGAACAGACAAACCTTGTATGACACCTTTTCCTGTATATAGGAAACTGTTGGTAGTAAAAACCAGATATAAGTTTTGTATTATAGCTCATATCGTTTATACTAAACTCAGTCGGACATCCAAACATAATGAAACCTGCTCTAGTTGCAGCACATGTTACATCCGTCCTTAAAGTATTAAATAAGTCAACAAAACCTGTGGTGGTATATCTGAGTAAGTATCTTCAAAGAAGTATTTTTACCATTCACAACAACAAAGTCTTCTGGTGTCAAAAGAGCAAAACAGGCTTTAGTCGTCATCGTGTTTAAGGTCAGTTTACAATATCGTCCTTGAGGACTTTGTAAGTTTGTTGTTATAGAATTATATGACTCATTTTTAGTCGTAATAGTATAAACCACTATGTCTTCTGCCATTTACTTAGCAAGTAAATTTTAATGAAATGTGTGGTCGTCAAATATTTTTATGACGTCTGGGAAACTATATTTTAAGTTCAACGTTTCACCTCCTTTCATAACGTATATCTTGTCAATGACATTGTATGAAACACCACAGCAAGCAATGTCGGGTTCTATTTCTTTGATGTTTTATATCGTCTGCCTCTGTCAAAAGTTTCAATAGTTCTTTCAAAACTTCATGAGGTGCAATGACATATGAGTTCACTTTTACAGGGTTGTGTTCGACCAAGTTTAACATTATACCAAAGCTTGACAAATCTTCCCTGAGTTTTAAGTTTGTCTTTAAGTTGTTGGTAGTCGTTTCGAATATCTGCAACAGAACTTAAGTCTCTGGCTAACTTCAGGGTATGTTGGTTGTTCTTTTACAGGAACTATTGTTATACCATCTTCGTCTTCGTATGGTTTCCCCACTTCAACATCTCTTTCTTTGACATTGACAACAACACTTTGACTGTTTGTTTGAGTTTGGTGAATTTAACTTCACATCTGCCACCGCCATTAAACCTTTTGAAACACTTACGCTTCTATTTTTCGGAAATGACATTTTACTAAGAATAAAAAGATGGACGTATTTGAGTATCTCTTTGAATTGAAGCAAAACAAAGTTTACACACACAAACAGTACAAGTTCATTGACAGAATAGTTCTTTACACAAACAATGGAAAATGTTATAGAATAGCAATATTTGCTGAACCAAAATATTTTCATAAAGCAAAGAAAGTTGGTATAACCGAGATGGTGAAAGTTCTTGACGTTGACAAAAATATAACTTCAAAACTTACAGATATTTCTAAAGGTAAGTTTATCTTACAATATTATGTCAAAACTGGCGTACTGTCAATATTTGACGGAGAGAAGTCAGTTCAAGAACAACTTACTGACCTGCTGCCAAAATCTGCTCGATGGAAGCTGTCGTTATGCCAATCTGAGGAGCCCAGCAGGTTTCATCGAACGAATCTTCAAAAGAGCATCTTCCGTGAAAAGTGCTATTGGTTTTGTAAACTTCTTTGCTCTCAATTCATCTGGACCGTCTCTGTCACCAGTATATTGTATTTGAACTGTACCAACAGTTGAAATACCACCCATAAAGTCTTCTGAGTCAGCAAATGGAATGCCAAGCCAAAAGTTTGAACGGTCTCCATTTGTATATTGAGTTTTTTGACTTCCTGTATGAGTCCATACTTTCACATTATGGCATAAATAGAACTTTGCATTTCAGGGTTAATGGTTGTTGTGAAGTTGTTGTTAAAGTTCATAGCATCTAATGTCAAGTTGTATGACCTCATATCCTCAACTGTAGAATATTCTTCTCTTGGATAATATTTGCCATCTATGTTTATATGATATTTAATACCGGGGTTGTAGAAACAAGAATAGTCATTTATAGTTCGTCTCTGAACAGTACAAACATAGTATCTGCATGTTTCATTGCAGTTGTTAAAGCAATATCTGTTCTTGCACCTGGGTCAGCACTTTGGTTTCCAACTTCACCTGCAAAGTCTTTGACAGATATTTGGTGTATTAGGGAACATAAGTGGAACTGCAATATATTTGGCAGCTAAAGCATTTGAAATATCTGGGTCCAACATATAGACTGCAAGTCTGCTTTCTATTCTCTTGCATTCAAACTTTTCGCATGTGAACTTAACTGGGTCCCAAGCATCTCCAGCAGCATTGAAATAATAGTTTACTTCAGTGTTGAGGTTTGAGAAACCAAAGTCTAAGTCAACTTTGTTTTTGCAAAAGTCGGCGAATGACATTTTATTTGTTCCCACTACTTCTGTAAGAGTGAATGGGTCTTGTGTTGGTGCAATGACTAAGTTATTTTTGCTTGGAGTAAGTTCGATAGAAATTTTTCCTGCCCAGTTTGGCAAGTATCTTAAAAACCTGAAGATGAGGAAAGATGACAAAGGAACTCTAAGTTTCAGTTTTACTTTGGTTACTGCTGCTGCAGTTTGTCCAGAAAGGTTAACATAAACTCCTGGAACGTTAGGGTCAAGTCTTCTTATTTTCTCAATAGTTGCATACTGGTCTGTTTGTTCTCTAGCTTGTGGTTGTACTGAGTTTCTTAAAGCGAACCATTCATAGTTTGCCCATGTTACTGTTTGAACTAAGTCAGAGTTAGAATATATCTTATATCCCATAAAAACTTCTGGAGCATATTGGTATCCGACATAGAAAATTCCATTGCAACCTTTCTTGTCAGACAACTTGGCAGAAGGTTTTATTTCAATGTCTTGTTCCACGTATAAGAATGAGTTGTCAATAGAAATAATATGAAACCTGTCGCATGCAATATCTACTGTTGTTGAAGAACCTTCTCCAAACTCACCTACATTTCCATAAGAAACAGCAGTTGTATATTCGTAAGTTCCAGGAACTATTTCTGACCTTCTAATGGCATTGTCGCATTCGTTATACCATTCGGAAACATTTCCATTCATAGCATCCAAAACTGTTGGCGTTATATTCTGAGCGGCGTACATTTCATATGAGTAAAAATATAGAATAGTTGGATTTATATGTCATAATAGAACCCACGTGGACCAAGCTTTACTTTCTTCCTGACTGAGTTTTTAACTCTTCTTTTTCCTTCATTGCCCTCTGCTTGAAGTTGTTGCATCTTTGCATTATGTTCATCTAGTATGTTGCAAATTTCCCATGTCCTTTTTGCCTTTTGGCTCTGGTCGCCCATCTCAGGTAACCTATATCCTAGAAAGAGTTTGTCATAGTCTGTATTTGAGTCTTCGCGTATTGTTTGCATGACTCTTTCCTGAGTTTCCGGTTCAAGCTCTTCAAACAGTGCCTGTCCATATGGAATATGCTCGTTTCCAAATATATGTTTTTGTAGCCATTCTGGTTTTCTTTCCATGTTACCAACTATATCTTTTGTGAATGGGAAAGCTTCTACCCAATCTTTCAGTCTTGCGTCGTTTATTTCTGTAGTTGGTTTTATTTTGTCAAGGAACATGTTTTTCAATACTAACATTTCATTTGGTACTGTCCATTTGAGTTTTCTTAAATATTCATCCCTTCTCGGTTCATTGTCTGCAAAGTAAGTTTTTATGACATTTTGTAAACTTTCGTTTGCAAGGTCATGTACAATAGGTTCTCTTCCTTCTCTGTCCATAACTTTCTTTCTAAACTCTTCACCAAATATACCATCTCTATGGTTCTGTGTAGTTCTTTGAGATAAATGTTCTAGAACGTCAGGTGTTATATTTCCATCAGCCATGTTCATTTCATACTGGTCCAAAATATCTGCATGTTTCATATCTTTCAATGGCATTAAAGCCGCGCTTAAAATACCAGCTATATCTGGTTCACCATTGACTTCCATTGCGTCTACAACTTCTTGGAATTGTGGTTGTAAGTTTATGAACCACCTATCTGGATTAGCTTTATGACCCCATCTCATTGTAGTTCCATCGTCTGCAGAAACAAAAGTAGGTTTGTTTCCATCTTGGTTAGGTTCTGAATGAACTTTAAACAATGTTTCATTTCTATATGTTTTCTTGAAATTTAACCTTTTATTTTCACCGAGTTCATCCGAAGATTGAACGTTAAATGCTCGTAAGTAAAAAGGGTTGTTGTATTTGTGTACATTTTCTTTCAGTACTTCCATTCTATGCTGGATATTTTCATCTGATGTTGGAGTCTTTTGTATGTCGGCAAACATTTTTCGATATTCTTCTACTATGTCAGCCGAATTTTTCTTAGACTCTTGGAAAGATTCCATATTCTCCGCATACTCTTGTTGAGGGTCAAGATTTTTCGGCTGTTCCAAATCTTCATCTAGTTCTGTGAAGTTAGTTTCCAAAGGAAGGACTTGTTCGTTTCCTTCAGGCTCTTCTAGCTGTTGTTGCTGAACTATTTCTTCCATGTCTGGTTGTATCTGAACTTCTTCCTGTGGAGTTTCTTGTACCTCATCTGCTGGCATTTCATATATTCCGAGACCGTTTTTAAAAAGTTCCCTATCTAAGTCATCCGGACTCATAAACCTTTCTTCTTTCGTTCCGTCTCTATTTTTTACGCGTTTCATGAAGAGAGTTGAATTGTCATTTAGCTCTGACATCAAATATCTCGGAGTAAATTCATCCATGTCATTTGGATGATATGCTATTAAATCATATCCCTTAGCGAGCTTGTATTTTCCAGGTTTGAAATTATATCCCATTTGGTGCTGAACCATAAAGCTAAATAGGTTCGGGTCAGTATTTCCTTCCTTGAACTTTCTAATAGCTTCTTTATATCTGTCACTAAAGTCAAGAGTATCTGGGTAACCATAGTCTTCCTTAAGCATTTTTAAGAATTCTTGGTTTCCTTGTTCTCTACTTCTTTTATGTCCTTGCTCTGTTTGTGGTGCAGTGTTTTGAACTGTTGGTTGTGGTGCAGTGTTTTGAACTGTTGGTTGTGGTGCAGTGTTTTGAACTGTTGGTTGTGGTGCAGTGTTTTGAACTGTTGGTTGTTGTGTTGGTTGTTGTGTTGGTTTTGGTGCATGCCTGTGTCTGTGTCCATGTGACGATGTAAATGTTTTAGGTAGTCCTGGTGCAGGTGCTTCTCTTGGAGGGTTTGGTGGTATATAAGTTCCACCAGCTGGCACATATGTTCCATCTGCAGCGTAATGTCCTACCTGACTTTTCGTTTTTAAGAAAGCATTTACTAGGTCTGTTTTGGTCTGTTGTAACTCTTTTTCTTGACTTTTCACAACAGTTGCTCTAACGGCGTCATAGGCACTTTGAACTGCCTGTCTCGTTGCTGCATCTGTTATTTTCGTCATATTTTGTGCTACTTCTTTTAACTCTTTGTCGAAACCTTCAGACTTCAGTTTCTTTCCAGATGAGAAGTCGTTCACTTGTTTCACCTTACTATGAAGAGCTTCGAAGGCGTTCTTAAAGTCAGCATTTGTTAAAGCTTCATTTGAACTGTCTTCATCCGCTTGTATTTTTGTCCTTATTGACCCTATGAGTTGGGCTGCTTTAGCGTTGGCTTGGGCATCTAACCAGTCATTGTTAGCTTTTATATATTCTGCGCTTTTCATTGCCTTTTGCATGGCTGCGTCGTTATTTTTTACTTTCTTGTGCTAAGTTTTCATACTGTACGGTTTGGTTTTGCAACTGTAAAAGTTTTTCTGCCTTTACATTTGCTTCAACTTCTTTTTTATACTCATCGCTATCCATATATGTCTTCAGGGCTTTTTTTTTATCTCTTCATCTTTCAGTATTTTATATTGAGTAGTATGGTTTTTCAAATTTATGACATCTTGTTCCATTTTTGCTACTTCTGCTGCTTTTTCTGACACTTTTTTCGCATATTCCTCTGTACTTAGTTCTTTCAGTTGTTCTTCTTTCTTCTTTTTCTCTACGTTTAACTCATTGAGTTTCTTTGTGTGTCTGTCATATTCTAGTTTCTTTTCGTTTTCACCTATTTGCTTCTGTATGTCTATGTTTGACTTTTTGACATCTGTTATTTGATTTTTGAGTGAACTCAAATTCATTTGACTTTGAGGGTTATAGGCTGTTCCGTCTGCAGCTCCACCATAGCCTGCCATTTTCGCTAAAAGTGCCGCTCTTAAACCTCCACTCTGTGCACCAACAACTCGGTTTAAAAGCATAGGATTGCTTGACATTTGTTGCAACATAGTGGGGTCATTCATTATTTGTTGTTGCAACTGTTGTTGTGGTGTCAGTTTTACTATTGGATGTTTCAATGCTCTCTTCCTCTTACGTATATTCTTACGTAGCTTACGTGGCATTTTAAGTGAAGTTAAAAAGCGGTTTTTGACAGATGTTTTATTGTGACTTCTTCGTAAAGACTTTGTTGAGACTTCTTCGTAAATGAGTGTAAATGACCCAAAAATATATTTTAGGGTAGAAGGGTATATCTACCCCGTTTTCTACCCTCTTTTCTACCCTCTTGAATTTTCATGAATTTCTTCGTAAAGACTTTGTTGAGACTTCTTCGTAAAGACTTTGTTGAGACTTCTTCGTAAAGACTTTGTTGAGACTTCTTTCGTAAAGACTTTGTCAAGACTTCATCGTAAAGACTTTGTTGAGATTTCTTCGTAAATGACCCTAGTAGTATATTTTTGGTGTAAATTTCATGAAAATTCAAGAGGGTAGAAAAGAGGGTAGAAAACGGGGTAGATATACCCTTCTACCCTAAAATATATTTTTGGTGTAAATTTCATGAAAATTCAAGAGGGTAGAAAAGAGGGTAGAAAACGGGGTAGATATACCCTTCTACCCTAAAATATATTTTTGGGTCATTTACACTCATGAACTTTCTTGTCTATGTTTTGTTAAGACTTCTTCGTAAAGACTTTGTTGAGATTTCTTCGTAAAGACTTTGTTGAGATTTCTTCGTAAAGACTTTGTCAAGACTTCTTCATAAAGACTTTGTCAAGACTTCTTCATAAAGACTTTGTCAAGACTTCTTCATAAATGTTTTGTTGAGATTTCATCGTAAATATTTTGTTGAGATTTCATCGTAAATATTTTGTCAAGACTTCTTCGTAAAGACTTTGTCAAGATTTCTTCATAAAGACTTTGTCAAGACTTCTTCGTAAATGTTTTGTTAAGACTTCTTCGTAAAGACTTTGTTAAGATTTCTTCGTAAAGACTTTGTCAAGACTTCATTTATACTAAACATCTTCGGGGCTAGAGGGCACGAAGTGCCTGGAAGCCCCACTACCTTTTTTTTTTTTTTTTTTTTTTTTGAATTATGTTCATTAATTATCAATATAATGAAAATGTCTTCTGAGTGTATTATTTGAAACTTCCCTAAAAAAATTTTGGAAGAAGAAACTAAACTACCAACTCAAAATATCATACCAATAGTTATTATATTGGTATGGCAAGCTATATATTTCACATTATTCATCTCACAACATGAAAAAATACTATTTGATCAGCATTATACACAGATAACTAAATACAAATATCCTTTTGCAATCGAAATGAGTCATTATCCAGGTAATCTTACAAACATTACGATCAATGGTGTTAAAGACGGTCTATTTCCCGAATATATAGAAAAGATTCTTACATTTAATTTAACATATCCAACGCCAAGAGATAAATTATTCTACGGATTCTGGAAGAATGCTATGAATCTAAGATATGAAGGCTATTTTGAAAAGCCTAGTATAGTTCCAAAGTATGGAGAAAAAAATTTCATTGATTTTTATACAAATTTCCATGGAAAAATTGCAATTTACAAGAATGCGTATGCATGTGGATCAGGAGAATTTGTTATTAACGAATATGTAATTCGACCACCATTTGATTCAGCTCCTCCATTCTGTCGGTGGTATACTGCAGGTCCACTTGTGTACAGTTGCGACAAAGCTTGTGTATTTGGTCACTATTACTTAGGTAACTATGGACATTTCATTGGTGATTACATGACGCCGCTTATGTTACTTCCTCAGGATTATTTAAAGGATTGCCTTGTTATTGTCAATGCAAGATCTCGTTTCTTTGCTCAAGAATTACTTAATGCCGTCGGAATTTCAAAATTTATCTTTGTAACAGACTATCAATGGGTATTTGCAAAAAGATTAGCTGTTGCAATTGAAGGAAGACCTCATTACATGCATTTTGGACTTCCACTTCAATGGCTTGTTGATAAATTAATTGATTATTACGATCTTCAAGATATTGTTCCAAATAGATATGTTATTAGCAACAGACCGAAATCGCGATTGGGTTTTCGTCATATTAAGAACATGCCTGAGATCATAAAAGCAATAAAACTCAACATTCCAGATTTCAAATTTGAACTTTTCCAAGATCACCTTGGTTCTGTTGCCCAATATGCAAGAGAATATAGTGACATTAAATTCTTATTCGCTCCTGCAGGAAGTAACATCCATAAAGCCATTTTTATGAAACCAGGAACAGTTATTGTCCAAGCTGCTTGCGATATGTTTGATCTTGCAGCATTTATCACTCCTTTGTCCCTTGGAGTTGCTACAACTGTTGTAATGAATCCATTCAATCATTTCGCACACAAATATGAATGCGATGTTCCAACAGCTGTTGAAGCAATCAAAGCTTCATTGTTCTTCTTGGAAAATAAGAGATGGCCTGATCCGATCCCTAATGTAACCTTTATTGACTACGATCTCGAATTTATGAGAAGAAAGAAATAGATTTCTTAGATAAAATTGTTTGTATCGATATAGATTTATTTGTAAAAACTCTCAGATGTAAAAATTTAATTGCTATCAGTGAAATTTTTAGTATTTTTTTGAAATAATGTTATATCCTTTCATTATCAAATGTCCAACATTAAGATATTTAAAGTTCTGGTAATAATTCCAAGCAAATGCTCATGAAACAGATATTATTTCTTGATTTAAAAATTTAAGAGTCATATTAAAACGAAAATCAAGAAATAACGACCATAGTATCATATACTTAAGATGGAAACTAGTGATAGGAATACCTGATGCACTCAGATGATTGAAAAAAAAATTTGAACAATAGTTCTATGGTTATGACTTCAAGATTGATGATTTGAGTACTATTGATCGAAATATATTACTATTCTATTAGCAATAATAAATAATCAAACAATGAAATATTAATCAGAAAGATCGAGTCCTGGATCAGAATCAGATACATTTGTGGGCGTTTGCACTGGTTGAGGTTTAAACTTTGCTTTTGAAGGTTTAATTCGATTCTTGATTAGTTCTTTAATTGGATCGACATTTTCTTGTATCTTCAACTTAATTGGAATCATGCTCTTCTTAGGGATCAATGGATATTTATCTGGGTATTCAGCTGTTATTGAATTTAATGTCAATTTTAGGCCTTTTTGCTTCAAGTACGCTAATATTGCTTCATGCGAAAGCATATATTGATCTTTTCGAAAGGAATTAGCATCTGTGAGTAAAAACGTATTATTAATTAATTTTGGTTTGAATTTGAGTAATGTTTGTAAGGTAAGGTTGATTTCTTTTGTCTTGAGATAGTTCATCGTTCCGTTATTATTCATTTCTGTAAAAACCTCCTGCGGATCAATAGTACTATCATAAGAATCCATTAAATAAAATGCAATATAAAGGACTCATTAACATTGTAAGCTGTTATTATGATGTTTCGCATTGATGATTTCTTACAATTTCAATAAAAGTTAGTTTAATTTTTTTATAAAAAGTCAATGTTATTAGTTAAGTATAAAAAGAAAAAATTTATATTTAGAATAGAAAAAAATAGATTACTGGAGCTGGAACTTGACTAAGTTAGCATAGATTCCACCCTGAGCGACTAACTCATCGTGCTTGCCTGATTCGGCAATTGCACCATTCTGGAAAACTAAAATTCTATCAGCATTCTTAACAGTAGCAAGTCTATGAGCAACAACGATAGCAGTCTTTCCTTTTCTAACTCTTTCAAGGGACTGCTGGACGAATTGTTCAGATTCAGTATCAAGAGCAGCTGTAGCTTCATCCAAAAGAAGAATTGGAGCATCAGCCAAAATAGCACGAGAAATGCAAATTCTTTGCTTCTGGCCACCAGAAAGGGATGTCTGCTGAACTTCTTCCTTATAGTTATTCTTAATTGTCATGATGAAATTGTGTGCATTACCAACTTCTGCAGCCTTAGCAATTTCATCATCTGTAGCCTTTGGACGACCATAGCGGATGTTATCAGCAATTGACATTGTGAAGAGAACTGGTGTCTGTGGAACAATAGAAATCTGGGATCTAAGGAAAACAGGAGATAAAGAAGTGATGTCAACATCATCTAAGAGGATCTGGCCTTCAACGATTTCGTAGAATCTCTGGAGAAGTGATAATGTTGTTGTCTTACCGCAGCCTGATTCACCAACAAGAGCAACTGTCTCACCTGGTTCAATTGTGAAGGAAAGGTGTCTAACAGCCCATTGGTCGCGAGAAGCATACTTGAAGCTAACATCACGGAACTCAATTTTGCCCTTAACTTCCTTGAGTTCGTTACCAGCGTGTCTATCGATATCTGGTTTGAGGTTGATGATCTCAAGAATCTTGGCAGCTGATGTGTTAGCGTTTCTGTAATCTTCAACGGAAGCGAATGCCTGTGTAATACCCATTGTAGCCATCATAAGATACATCATGATTGTCATAGCATCGCCAGATTTGACACCTCTTGTTGGGCGCTTGATAATAAGATATGTAACCATGTAAAGAACGCAAACTGTAACCATATTTGCGATTAATGTGATGATTGCATCCTTTGTACCGTGGGCAATAGCTGTCTTTCTATAAACAGTATCGATACCATCAAGAGACTTTGAGTAGTCTTCGAATTCCTTCATTTCACCATCGAAGGATTTGACGGTTCTGAATTGTGTAATAACTTCTTCAGCCTTGGAAGCAGCTGTTGTAGAGTGTTCGTTGAATTCTGTCCATTAGCTATCGACAAATGTTTCACCGAGCCAGAATGTGATCAAAATGATTGGAATAGCAACTAAAATGATTAATGAAACAAGAGCAGAGTTAACGAAAGCCATGATAACACCCATGACTGCTTGTGTGAGACCTTGGAGAACTGTGCATGTCTTATCGATGTATGTTTCACGGACTAATGTAACATCTTCTGAAAGACGGCTGACTAAAACACCAGCAGATGTCTTGTCGAAGTATTCGATTGGTTGATTCATTAAAGAAGTGAAAAGTGCTCTTCTAAGATCGAGATTGATAGTTGGTGTAGCGAAAGATCTGAAGGCCATAGCTATAGCCATAACAACGACTTGTGCAATATTCCACCATGTCATCTTAAGAATGAATGGGGTCATTAATTCTGGGATTGTTTTTGTTGGATCAGAACCGAATGAGGAGGTTAAGTCACCCATGTAAATCATCATAACGACTGTAATTGCACCCATTAACATTGAGAATAAAAATGTTAAAAAGAGAATCGTTTTGTACCTAAAATACTTGAGTGTTTTGAACATCTCAAAACCGGTGGTTTTAACATTTTTAACATCTTCACCATCTTGAGAACCCTGTGATCTAAAGACTGCCGTGCGTGGTGGCATTTCTTTCTAAAAATGATAGGGCTTATTAAAAAAATTTTTACAGAGATGTTTCTCAGAAATTTCACGATCAAATTTTTAAGATCGGTCGCAAAATTTAAATAGTCATAAACTATTCAAACTGACAGGATTCAAAATATAAAATGATTTCTAGGATGACTATATATAATACATATATACTCTCAGAAAAAAATAGTTGGGCCAAATTTCCAATAAATTTTTGTGAGAAAATTGAAGGACAATTTCTCATCTATGGTGATATTGACTATACATTAATATTTTTAAAATAAAATTTTATCTCAACAGTTTGGTTCAATGAAAAAAATTTTGTTGATTATGCATGCTGTCATGAATGGTATCATAATTGATACTTTATGAATTTCATCATTGAAAATTGAAATAAGCCAATGCATCTTAAAACATATCAAGAATATGTTTTGAATTCCAGATATTTTGATAAAATAAATGTTTCTCGATAATTTCGATCGGAAAATTCTGTGAAAAATAATCGTTTTTTATGAAGGTCAATAAAATCAAAAGAACTTTCGTTTTGTTATTACCTGTGATAAATTACAAGCATAACAGATCAAGTCTATAATGAAACTACTAACATATAGGATGATTTAAACTAGAATTTATCAAGCTATTTGCAGATTCAATTTTATCTAAATTTAATTTCCAAAACTTTTCATTCCTTAATTGATATTATTGCAAGTTACAAGCTTAGAGCATGATTTAATGAATTTTGACATAATTGCTCTGTCAAAATTTCTCGCCAATACCTACTTGCCGCTCAAATACAAAAAACAAATTGCATTATGCATGCATTACTAAAAATGATACATGATTTATCCAGTTTTGTGATACGTTTCAAGGAAATATTACAATATTCAATTACAAGAAAGAATTATTATGGTTTAATTACATATTGTGATATATATCTTATTAACAGAATATAATAAAAATATTTTACATTTTATTTTTCATCAAAATAAGAAAAATTGAAAAATACATATTTTAAAAACTAAAACTATTGAATATGCCATACTAAAATTTACTGAATTCATAAAAAATGCTCATTATATAACCACATCCATATTATTTAAAAATTGGTGAATTATGAAAATAGAGTAATAACTTTCTGTGCCAGGCATACTTGGTTATAATACTATTACCCCCCCATTCATCTCTATATTTTAAATTTTCAAAATACCACTATCTAAAAATGTTATTTTTTATTAGTTTTTCATATAATTCAAAATATAAGAAAAATCATAGAATTATGAATCTTGGGAAAGACGACATTAATTCCGTAGATTTTAAAAATCGTCATAAATCAAGATTTGATGAAACGTTAAAAAATTATAATTTGCCATATCGAGTCGTTTTTCATTTTTGCGACTAATTTCTTAATTCCCTTTTCAATTACAATAATAATATCAGTCCAAAGTCTTGATATTAAATGAGTACTTTGATGCTTCCGTTTATGAATTCAGTTTTCTAGATGAATACTCAGGAGAAGACAGAATTACTAATGAATCTCCAGCGTTTTAGCGCTCACAGAGCCATTGAAAATGCTAACGGCAATCTAGAAAGGCTCAACCTACTCCTAGAAAATTCAATAAAATCATCCGAAATACGTGGACTGATTGCACAAAACATGCGCTATACAGTTGATGATAACCCAAACATCAGATGGAACAATCGATACTAGTGCAAAAAATCATTTTCAAATCCTTTATTTTACCAGGAAACATTGCTATACTTATCTATACTATTGTTTTGTAAAAATTTAATACTAACCATCGTCTATACTATTGTTTTTATATATACACATACAATAAATAACATATTTGTATGTTTTGATCTTATGTTATATTAATAAATGTTTGATATAACTACAGCTTGTATCTAAAAACGGCACATTTCAAATAAATACATAATAATACAAAATACAATTTATAACATACATGATTAACAAATAACATTAATGAATGGGATCAAACGAAGATGAAAGAGTTCTTGTAAAGTTCTTCCAAGTGCAAATATTAGCTAATATTGCGCTAGATCTATGTGACTTTTTCTGTTGATGAACATTGAATGGTTTAATGTATTCGTAAAGCTCACAAATATCTGCTCTTTCGTCAGGATTGCTTACCAAGCATCTCTTGATGATATGTTTGATGCAACTTGGAATTTCATTGTCCATTTCTTTCATCTGCTCATGCATACGCGAAAAGTATTGATCCTTGGACTCATCCGCCTTTGGTAAAGTTAAAGTAACAAATTGCATAATTGTGATACCGAGGGACCAAATATCGGCCTTGTATGGGTTATATGGGGTTTTAGCTAATAGCTCTGGAGCGGCGTAAACAAACGAGCCGCAATAGTTCTTTGTCTGTAAACATTCGTTGATTTGTGAAATTCCGAAATCAGCAAGTTTTAGACGTGCATATTGATCGAAGAAAAAGTTTGAGGGCTTGATATCATGATGTGCTATTTCTCTGGAATGGCAGAAAGCAAGAGACGTTATCATCTGATCAACTATTGATATCTGAAGTGATGGGCGTAAGCTTTTGTTGGTTCTGATGAAATTATCAAGATCACCTCCACTGCAGTACTCCAAAATTACGACAAAATAATTTTCATCATGAAATGTGTCATAAATCTTGATAATATTTGGATGGTCAAGATTCATAAGTGATTTGATTTCATCGTAATATGAATTGATCTTCTGAAGCTTCATATAATCGCCATCGATTTCTATAATTTTTCCTACAAAGTAATCATTGTATTTCTGACTTAACACCTTGTAACAACAGCTGAAACCTCCTTTTCCAATTCTCTCCATGATTGTGTATTCATGTTTCTCAAAGAGAGATGTTTTGATCATAATAATTTTCTGAATGACCGTAGTTCTCAATTAAAAATCTTATCCTAATCGTTTAAAAAATGATTATTGTCTAATATCGGGAATATCAGAAATAATTTTTTTCATGATGTTCTTATTGAATTGATTTAACAAATTTCAATGAGGATCTAAAGTGGGCTGGACAAACATACTTGGCTTTGGATCAATAACAATATTTGAGAATTATTGGTTTAATTATCAATGTGGAAAATTTTCAATGAGTTTTTCAAAAATTTCTTTCAGGTGAATTTTTGGTTGCAATTGCATGTAATAACTGACAGATAGACATTGTCTTTTAATTCTTTTACCCATCCAAAAGACTCAGAATTTTACCCTTGAATTCAAGACCACGCGTTTCTCAAAATACACTCTATCCCCTTATACGTTTTATCCGGAAATTTGAAATATCGTGTAGAATTTAGAGTAATATCCAATGGCACGAAATGAGATATTTACATTTTTCAATGATGCGATGTTTTTTTCAATAAATTCGTGTTCTATGACAGCTGAAGCATTTCTGCATATACTTCCTAAAGACAATAACTCTGAAAACTATGTTCTCTCAGAAAGAAGGTTTTTTTTATATAATTTGTTTCAAATCTTCGTTTTGAATCTATGAAAGCCCATTAAAAGTGTACAACAAAATTTCTATAACTTACCTTAGTATCATTGGCAAGTAATTTCATTAAAATAACAGGTTATTGTAAATTTAATTTATTATTTTTGTTCCATTTTTTAGATAGCGTTTATAATTAAGCTTATCTACTTATCATAAAAGAGATTTTAATCCCATTTGGATTAATTCCAGTTTTGAATTGTCCTCTTCATTAATTTTGTTAAAAATGGATTTGTCAATCATCAAATCCTATTTATTCTTTGCGTATAGTCTATTAGATAGATTAGCTTTATCATATTTTTGTTAATTTGGTATTTTTTTGTTATTTGTACCTAAGTGTTTATATGAATTAAAAAATCTATTATAATTTTCTTCAATTTATCATATCTTTAACTCATATCTTCGTAGCAAAATAATATTCAAGATATTTTGAAATTTCCAGATTACCTTTCTTAGCAATATGACAATTAACTGGACAAATAATACATCATTATATTTAATAAATCTTGAAAAATTAATAATATATTTATGAACTTCAAATTAAACCATTTTTAAACATAAAATACCAATAGAATACAACAATATAGATGATATTCAAACAGTGCAAGGTCTAAATTGATCCAATTTTGAATTTTGAAATTATATTTTTTTGAAAAATGATAAAGAACCCAATAACTCAAAATATGCTATGTAGAAAAAATCTAGAACATTAATACTAAATAAATTTTCAAAATAAATTCGGAACAATAATAACAATAACAAATGATATTAATGTGGATACTGAATATTCATACGCGCCAATCTTTCAATGAAAAAGTGTCTTAATGACTGTAAAGTTTCATTTGTAAGATCGCTCACGTCAATAACAGCTTTATCTTTCGGAATCTGGTAATTTGGTTGATAAAGATTTATAATCGATGCAATTGCCTTTGTATCTTCTTCATTTTTGAAGTATTGGGAGAAACGAACAAATGTATTTAATTCTTCTTCACTAATAGGCTTATCTGCATATGCATCTTTTGTTTTATCTAATGGAGCGTGTGCTATAACTAATGAAGGTGGAAAATTCAGTATCTCTTCAATTTTTTTATCGTAATGAACAACAGCAGCTGTCCATTTCGATGTTCTGCATCTAAGATGAATTTCAACATATTTTTTGAAAAGAGCTTCCATCTCTTCAGCGACAATTCTGTAAAATTGATTATTTGGATGCAATTTTTTAACTAAAACAAATATTGTGTTAACGTCTTTTTCCCACTGGGAAATGGTCGTATATTTATTCATTGCTAATCTGTCTCTTGCGTATTTTAATCCGAGAGATTGCTTTTTAAAATCGTATTCCTTCTCTAACTGAGTACAATTACCCAATTCAATAAACTGTTGTGATATAGGATGATGCATTAATGAATCCATCGCATCAAGACAACATTGACGAGCCAATGGACTAAATCTTGTCATTATGACGATTATTGTAAATAAAAAATAAAAATATCTAAATTCTGGCGATTTCGCTTAGAAATGTATCACACTTACATGATATTAAACAAAAATTACTTAAAAATTGCAAAATTTTCAAGATATTGGTTCAAATCTTCCCGTTTTCTGACATCAAACATTGTGCCAGTATTGGAAAGATCATATTAATATATATTCATTCCGAAATGGACGTATTTAAAAAAGAATAACAACAAAATATCTCTAAGCATTCTTATAAACAAGACCATGACATACTAATTTATTTACATTCATACAATCATGACACCCCTTTAATGACGTCGAAGCGAACATAATTCCAAATTACTTTTGGTTTCAAAGGCTTATCACAGCGATCCTTCATAGAAAATCATGGGCAATAGCAGATTAATAGTTAATATCGAAACTAGAGCCGACATCTTTGAGATTTTTTCAATTGATCGTCGAATTTTTGTTTCTTGAAAAATACTATTTAAAAATAGATATTTACAATTACATATAAGTTTAAGGATAGAATATAATCAACTGAATTATATTTGTGATAACAAACTAAATTAACCTCATTAATTGCAGCTCTGAGGAATGTAAATGTAGGAATTTATATCAATAGGATTTCCATCTACACTTAGAGCATATTGAATCAGGTTGGTGATTGGTGGATATCGAATTGGTTGATTAAAGGCTGAATTATTATTTTCATGAGGAGCTTGCTGAATAGTCATATTATCAGAAGAAAATTCACTGTGTTGTTTTGTATTCCTTCCGCGGTGTACTATATGCACGTTGTATCTGTTTTTCAAAGAATTTGCTGAACGACCATTAAAAAATTGAGAAATAACAGACCATTTTGATCCTAATTCACTAACCTTTTGAAGGAGAAGCTCGTCTTCTTCTCTCGTGAAAGGTGCAACATTAATACCAGGGGCTAAATAAGTTTGGTAACGTTCCCTACATTGGCGCGTAGTCTTTCCAGGTACTTGCTGAGCAATTTCCTTCCAATTAATATCACCATTGTACCTTTGAGCGAGAAACTTAATCATCGCATCTTCGCAAACAGTAAAGGCGCGTTTCTTTTGTAGCTTGCTAATATCTTGAGTTCTGTTTTTCTCAAGAGTGGCGCGCAAGGCCATAAATTCATTGTAGTCAGAAGAGCTTTTGATCGAGAGCATTAGTGTAAACTACGCCGTTGGGTTTTGATAAATGCATAGAATTATTTGAATGTGCTATTTTAATAATAAAGTGACGTTGGTAATTAACAACGTGCAATAAAAAGAGCATATAAACTGGAATACTATGCATTTAGCAATTAAAAAATAAGATTGATGAAACGATCATTTTTTAATCGTATATGAATCTTGCTCTATATTGGATAATAAAGACGGGTACTCCAACACAAGGTTTTACTTCAAATAATTCAATTTAGAGAGATAAGAAATTTGTAAACCAAATCTTATTCTATGTTAGTAACTAATAAAATATTACGATACACTTGATTCTAGTTTTCAAAAAATCTAAACAACGAACGATCTTTTTTCCCAAAGTTTAAGTATGATAAATAAATATTAATCTCCAATATTTAACATTCTTGTTTTATAATAATATTAATGAAAATAACATGATAATAAAATCCATCTTGAAATTTATTGTATTAATCTTACTTTGGTTGGCGCTTTTGGGCTCTATTTCTCTTCATTCGCAATTGGTATTCTTCAAATGGCTCTGATTGGATCACATGATCTTCGTAAAGAAATTTATTTGGAAATACTCGTGCGTTGTTCTCGTAAGTAAAAGATATAGTTACTATGCCGCTGAACATTCTCTGAGAATCTTGAATAGTATGATTTGCAGAGAATTTTTCAATATTTCCAAAATAATTAACTATATATTGACGTAACCTCTCTAAATCGGTATCTAATGGTACATCTGTTAGTCTAACCATCTTTGCTATTTGCTCTTGTTCATTAATATTTACAGGCAATTTTGTTCTAACAGCATTTCCTTCTGTATTAAGTTCTAAATCATTTGATATAACGCAAGCATCATGAATTTCATTAAATGTAACACATAAATTTTTCATTTTATTATATTCGAGAAAAGTATCAAGTGGAACAAATCTATCGATTGATTTTTTGATAAAAGTTCGTAAATTCTTGTTATCTCTTAAACTGGACGCTGAAAGATAATATTCAACTTGATCACGAATTATTTCAAGGCGGTCTTGACTCGAATTGCTCAATAACTTGATTGTTGGCTTTTCTTGAATTTGACGAAGTTGAGATTGAGTGTCATTGCAACCAAGAAATGAAAAAAGCTTCCTGAATAAAGTCATCAATTAATTAAATTGACGTTAAAATCATGCTTATTCTTGAGATAGCCTACATTATCAGGAAATAATACAAAAACCGATAAAAAGGCCATTTTGTCCCAAAAATACCATAAAATTTAATTTTTTATATAAAAAAGATTATTTTGAGGGAGAAGGAAATAGAGACTAAGTAATACTATGAAATTTAATGAATAGTGAACATAGAATATAACTGATTGATATCATTTTTCCCAAAGATTTCAAAATGAGACACAAATTCTGTAGAAAAGCATGGTATTACATTCAATATAAGAATGAAATCCAACAATTAACTCGATTTACTCTAAGATTTGTATAATGAATCTTTAATCTAAATACAACTCTTCAAATAATCAATTACTTTCCTTAAATTTGGCCAACTTGTTTATTTTCATAAAAAACATCTACATGATCAATGTAGATTCTATTCAAAGAAAATGAACAAAATTCATTGAATTTCATTTTCATGGTTCAAATCTTCATAATTCACGCTTCAAGAGAAAATCGAGATTATCACACTGAAAGAAATGATGTCTGATATTGTGAAAATGTGCGTGTGGATTTTCAAAAGGAAAAAATAGTTTTTATTGATTTGTAATAAAACAAAAAAATATATAAGAAAGTCTTTATTGAGAAATTTCAGCAAATTTGATTTCGATTTTTTCGACAACTTTGTCCAAAGTTTCAACTCCATGAGCAATTGCCATTTGTCTTGGTGACAATTCATGTAATAAACCTTTATCACTTAGATAAATGAACAAGAAATGAGCGTCAATTTCGCACCCCATTTTTGACAAAATATCCAAAACTGGGTGAAATTCACCACTTTTTGCGAACAAAATCAAAGCGATTTGATACGAGAAAGAGTCCAAAAACAAACAAGCCAAGTTAAAGTAGCTTTCTTTCTCTTTCATTACGAACTTGCAGAACAAAGATGAATAATAAATATCTCCGTATTCAATGAACGAATCAAAACCTTTTTTGTCCAAACCAAACAATCTGAACAAACAACAACCTTCAAAGAATTTATGGAAAGACAACAAAGAAATTGCACTTGTTTCAATAAACTGCAATGTTTTGTTATCCATTTCTTTGTCATTTTGTTTCATTGTCAACAACAAACATCCTAAAAGAGAATTCTCGAAATATTTGTCTTCGTAATCTTCATGTTCTGACTGAACAATTGTTGAACAATATTCAAAATCTCCTCTGAACAAATGGTCCAAAAATATGAACTTTTGGCCGTCTTTGTCTTTGATCTCTAAATGGGAAATTAATTCATCGTATACTTTACGATAATCGGAGTTTACAAAACCGATAATTTGTTGTAACCTTAAACATTCGTTATTTGTCAAAATGTTGTAAACATCCTTTGCGTATTCCGACATAAATCCTTTGAAATTCTTCAAAAGTGAAATTTGTCGTTTACAATTGTCACTTTTTGACTCTAATTTCATGAAAGAAGAGAAAAGAGAAATTGGTTTGAAGTCAGATAACCTCAAAAACCGTAAAACTTTATCGTCTGTCAAAACCATGACGATAGAAGTATCAATTTGACAAAAATCTTTGACATTAAATGGACATTCTCTTATTTCTTCTGTCAAAAGTGAAATGACAAAAAATTGGAAGTTCTTTGTCAATCCGAAAATCAAACCCTCGACATATTTTAGTTTAATTATTCCGGAATACTTCGTTTGGAACTGTTTCAAGTTCTTTTCATCAATTAATGTCAAAATCAAACCGTTTTGGAATGAAATAATAAACGTATTTCCATTAAAACAAATTGCTGTTGGTTCGGAGTAGATCATCTTCGCATTCAAGCAGAACTTCGACTTCTTGATTTCATTGTCTTTGCTTTTTGAATACTCGTAAACAAAAATGTCAGAATTTTTATCCAAAACCGCAAATCTTCCGTTTTCTTGGCTCGAAAACAGTTCATCAACAGAAACATCAACTAATTCTGTCTGTAACAATACAGGGACTTCCTTCTGTTTGATGAAAACACCTAACGCAAATTTGTCTCTTGCAACGATAAAAGTGCCAAAGTGAGATGAAAAACATTTTGAATTCATCACTTCACCATACTTTGTTTGGAACTTTTGGATTGTTTTTGATGAGAGGTCGATGACTCCGAGGCTTTCATTCGTCTGGAAATAAACATTTCTCAATGTAGAATTAATTGAAACAAAAATTATTCCTGAATTTTGAGAAATTGTAAATTTTTGAAGATCTTCGACATTATAAACATTTCCACAGATGATTGAGCCTTGATCTGTACCGTAGCAATACACTGTGCCATCGCAATCGAATGAGGTGACATTGGATGGGAAAATTGGACAAGCAGAGCAAATTTGGAAATTATTTATGTCAAATAGTGAAATTCCGATATTATTGTAGTATAAACAGATGTAGTCATCATTAGTAATTGATGAACAGGCTGTAAGTATCGTAGATTTGCAGTGTTTCGGAGAAATTTCGGTTGTTATTTGATATTTGAAGAAAGAATCAGGAGAATCAAAGATTGTCATTCCTCCATTTTTATGTAGTGTAATAAGTCGCTTATGGTTGTTGTAAAATTGTATGAGTTTCGTAAATTGGGCAGATGTTGTTTTTCTGACGAATAAAGAGATTAACGTTTTGGTCTCCATGTGGAAAAACATGATCTCTCTACCAGTGACTATGAAAATGAAACCAGGGGCATGATAAGACCATTGAGAATCTAAAATTTCGTCGGGAGTTGTAAGTTCGATAACTTCGAAGTAAGGTTCAGGCTTAATATGTGGTGCTTTAAGACTGAATATTGAAAATTTCGGAAAAGAACCACTGAATAAAATATAATTATAAGTATTTGGATCAATTGAAAAGTTTGTGCATTGAAATGGTAATGATACAGTCCAGTATTCTTGAAGATTGTGTAAGTTGTCGCTTGTATTGCCTGGCTTATAGGCATAACACGAAAGATGGGATGAAGAATATAAAACGAATAGATATTCACCAAACCATCTGAGTTTGTAAACTTTGTCTGAAAGAAATGACTTACTTGAAGCAATAAATTGATGCTTATCAACATGATAAATAACAACACGGCCTTCCGAATCACCAATTGCAATGAGTCGTTGTTCTGAATGTATAGAAACACTAGTAATTACATTTGGAGCAACATCGATGCTTCCTGCTCTTTGTAATTTTCCGTCAACAATATAACAAAGATGAACAACGCAACCAGATGCATAAGCAATGACATTATCCATGTCCCAATCTATTGCACCTGCATTATCTTTGACTGCTGCAGGCGGAAATTCTGGGATAATTTCAAAACTCATTTTTTGACGATAGTAAAATTTTATCTGAAATGCTTATTATATATTATAAATAAATTTAAAATTAAAATTTTCGTCAGGGTGAATGGTATAATGGTTAGTATTGTTGATTGTGGCTCAATAGATCCGTGTTCGATTCACGGTTCACCCACTTTTTTCCATTTCTTTTTTGGAATTACCAAAGATTTCGAAAACAAAAAGATAACCATGCTAAATGGGTCGAAGAAAAAACTTTATTTCTATGTAATTCTTCCCCCATTGGGGATGATACATAAATATTTTGATCAACCATGGTCGCTTTGCTCTTCACAGCAAATTGTGTTCACAATCACCATCAACCACAAAAAAATTCATTTATTTCAATAGGGACTGGATTTTTTTCTGATTTTAATAGAATTTTTGGGATCTACAGAAGAAATGGAGTATTTCTGTCGTTTTAGAATTTGGAAATATTATAGATATCATGTTAAATTCTAAGATCAATTTGATTTTTTTTTCTTTTTTTAAATGGAAAAAGATCTCAGACTTAAAAGAAGGAGAGGTAAATAAAAAAAAGCAATGTTAGATTTAAGAGAAATAGAAGAGTAGATAAAATGATGAAAGAAAATAATAAATAATGAAAAATGTAAAATGATAAATTGAATAGAAATGGAGTTAAAAAATATTTGAATATTTTTTAATAAAAAATATAAAATTATAAAATATCTCAACATATAAGAGTTTTAGCAGGGACAAACATAGGTGTAGAGTGTAGTATTGGTGCAGGGCAATAGCCCTGCACCGCGCAAAAAGGAAAAAGAAGCAAGCACCGCACGTTCCCGGGAAGTCGCCCAGCCCAGTACTGATGTGGCCCGCGACTGCTTAATTTCCAGGTTCGGAGTGGAGCTGGATGTTGCCAGCCGGGTGTGGCCGCTTCGAAAGGATTGTTCGTCACACACTATTCACACTACCATTACCACTCTCAATTTCCTCCAGCGGAGGGAGTCTCGCTTATGAAAAATTTTCATTTTTTAATAAAAAATATAAAATTATAAAATATCTCAACATATAAGAGTTTTAGCAGGGACAAACATAGGTGTAGAGTGTAGTATTGGTGCAGGGCAATAGCCCTGCACCGCGCAAAAAGGAAAAAGAAGCAAGCACCGCACGTTCCCGGGAAGTCGCCCAGCCCAGTACTGATGTGGCCCGCGACTGCTTAATTTCCAGGTTCGGAGTGGAGCTGGATGTTGCCAGCCGGGTGTGGCCGCTTCGAAAGGATTGTTCGTCACACACTATTCACACTACCATTACCACTCTCAATTTCCTCCAGCGGAGGGAGTCTCGCTTATGAAAAATTTTCATTTTTTAATAAAAAATATAAAATTATAAAATATCTCAACATATAAGAGTTTTAGCAGGGACAAACATAGGTGTAGAGTGTAGTATTGGTGCAGGGCAATAGCCCTGCACCGCGCAAAAAGGAAAAAGAAGCAAGCACCGCACGTTCCCGGGAAGTCGCCCAGCCCAGTACTGATGTGGCCCGCGACTGCTTAATTTCCAGGTTCGGAGTGGAGCTGGATGTTGCCAGCCGGGTGTGGCCGCTTCGAAAGGATTGTTCGTCACACACTATTCACACTACCATTACCACTCTCAATTTCCTCCAGCGGAGGGAGTCTCGCTTATGAAAAATTTTCATTTTTTAATAAAAAATATAAAATTATAAAATATCTCAACATATAAGAGTTTTAGCAGGGACAAACATAGGTGTAGAGTGTAGTATTGGTGCAGGGCAATAGCCCTGCACCGCGCAAAAAGGAAAAAGAAGCAAGCACCGCACGTTCCCGGGAAGTCGCCCAGCCCAGTACTGATGTGGCCCGCGACTGCTTAATTTCCAGGTTCGGAGTGGAGCTGGATGTTGCCAGCCGGGTGTGGCCGCTTCGAAAGGATTGTTCGTCACACACTATTCACACTACCATTACCACTCTCAATTTCCTCCAGCGGAGGGAGTCTCGCTTATGAAAAATTTTCATTTTTTAATAAAAAATATAAAATTATAAAATATCTCAACATATAAGAGTTTTAGCAGGGACAAACATAGGTGTAGAGTGTAGTATTGGTGCAGGGCAATAGCCCTGCACCGCGCAAAAAGGAAAAAGAAGCAAGCACCGCACGTTCCCGGGAAGTCGCCCAGCCCAGTACTGATGTGGCCCGCGACTGCTTAATTTCCAGGTTCGGAGTGGAGCTGGATGTTGCCAGCCGGGTGTGGCCGCTTCGAAAGGATTGTTCGTCACACACTATTCACACTACCATTACCACTCTCAATTTCCTCCAGCGGAGGGAGTCTCGCTTATGAAAAATTTTCATTTTTTAATAAAAAATATAAAATTATAAAATATCTCAACATATAAGAGTTTTAGCAGGGACAAACATAGGTGTAGAGTGTAGTATTGGTGCAGGGCAATAGCCCTGCACCGCGCAAAAAGGAAAAAGAAGCAAGCACCGCACGTTCCCGGGAAGTCGCCCAGCCCAGTACTGATGTGGCCCGCGACTGCTTAATTTCCAGGTTCGGAGTGGAGCTGGATGTTGCCAGCCGGGTGTGGCCGCTTCGAAAGGATTGTTCGTCACACACTATTCACACTACCATTACCACTCTCAATTTCCTCCAGCGGAGGGAGTCTCGCTTATGAAAAATTTTCATTTTTTAATAAAAAATATAAAATTATAAAATATCTCAACATATAAGAGTTTTAGCAGGGACAAACATAGGTGTAGAGTGTAGTATTGGTGCAGGGCAATAGCCCTGCACCGCGCAAAAAGGAAAAAGAAGCAAGCACCGCACGTTCCCGGGAAGTCGCCCAGCCCAGTACTGATGTGGCCCGCGACTGCTTAATTTCCAGGTTCGGAGTGGAGCTGGATGTTGCCAGCCGGGTGTGGCCGCTTCGAAAGGATTGTTCGTCACACACTATTCACACTACCATTACCACTCTCAATTTCCTCCAGCGGAGGGAGTCTCGCTTATGAAAAATTTTCATTTTTTAATAAAAAATATAAAATTATAAAATATCTCAACATATAAGAGTTTTAGCAGGGACAAACATAGGTGTAGAGTGTAGTATTGGTGCAGGGCAATAGCCCTGCACCGCGCAAAAAGGAAAAAGAAGCAAGCACCGCACGTTCCCGGGAAGTCGCCCAGCCCAGTACTGATGTGGCCCGCGACTGCTTAATTTCCAGGTTCGGAGTGGAGCTGGATGTTGCCAGCCGGGTGTGGCCGCTTCGAAAGGATTGTTCGTCACACACTATTCACACTACCATTACCACTCTCAATTTCCTCCAGCGGAGGGAGTCTCGCTTATGAAAAATTTTCATTTTTTAATAAAAAAAAATATAAAATTATAAAATATCTCAACATATAAGAGTTTTAGCAGGGACAAACATAGGTGTAGAGTGTAGTATTGGTGCAGGGCAATAGCCCTGCACCGCGCAAAAAGGAAAAAGAAGCAAGCACCGCACGTTCCCGGGAAGTCGCCCAGCCCAGTACTGATGTGGCCCGCGACTGCTTAATTTCCAGGTTCGGAGTGGAGCTGGATGTTGCCAGCCGGGTGTGGCCGCTTCGAAAGGATTGTTCGTCACACACTATTCACACTACCATTACCACTCTCAATTTCCTCCAGCGGAGGGAGTCTCGCTTATGAAAAATTTTCATTTTTTAATAAAAAATATAAAATTATAAAATATCTCAACATATAAGAGTTTTAGCAGGGACAAACATAGGTGTAGAGTGTAGTATTGGTGCAGGGCAATAGCCCTGCACCGCGCAAAAAGGAAAAAGAAGCAAGCACCGCACGTTCCCGGGAAGTCGCCCAGCCCAGTACTGATGTGGCCCGCGACTGCTTAATTTCCAGGTTCGGAGTGGAGCTGGATGTTGCCAGCCGGGTGTGGCCGCTTCGAAAGGATTGTTCGTCACACACTATTCACACTACCATTACCACTCTCAATTTCCTCCAGCGGAGGGAGTCTCGCTTATGAAAAATTTTCATTTTTTAATAAAAAATATAAAATTATAAAATATCTCAACATATAAGAGTTTTAGCAGGGACAAACATAGGTGTAGAGTGTAGTATTGGTGCAGGGCAATAGCCCTGCACCGCGCAAAAAGGAAAAAGAAGCAAGCACCGCACGTTCCCGGGAAGTCGCCCAGCCCAGTACTGATGTGGCCCGCGACTGCTTAATTTCCAGGTTCGGAGTGGAGCTGGATGTTGCCAGCCGGGTGTGGCCGCTTCGAAAGGATTGTTCGTCACACACTATTCACACTACCATTACCACTCTCAATTTCCTCCAGCGGAGGGAGTCTCGCTTATGAAAAATTTTCATTTTTTAATAAAAAATATAAAATTATAAAATATCTCAACATATAAGAGTTTTAGCAGGGACAAACATAGGTGTAGAGTGTAGTATTGGTGCAGGGCAATAGCCCTGCACCGCGCAAAAAGGAAAAAGAAGCAAGCACCGCACGTTCCCGGGAAGTCGCCCAGCCCAGTACTGATGTGGCCCGCGACTGCTTAATTTCCAGGTTCGGAGTGGAGCTGGATGTTGCCAGCCGGGTGTGGCCGCTTCGAAAGGATTGTTCGTCACACACTATTCACACTACCATTACCACTCTCAATTTCCTCCAGCGGAGGGAGTCTCGCTTATGAAAAATTTTCATTTTTTAATAAAAAATATAAAATTATAAAATATCTCAACATATAAGAGTTTTAGCAGGGACAAACATAGGTGTAGAGTGTAGTATTGGTGCAGGGCAATAGCCCTGCACCGCGCAAAAAGGAAAAAGAAGCAAGCACCGCACGTTCCCGGGAAGTCGCCCAGCCCAGTACTGATGTGGCCCGCGACTGCTTAATTTCCAGGTTCGGAGTGGAGCTGGATGTTGCCAGCCGGGTGTGGCCGCTTCGAAAGGATTGTTCGTCACACACTATTCACACTACCATTACCACTCTCAATTTCCTCCAGCGGAGGGAGTCTCGCTTATGAAAAATTTTCATTTTTTAATAAAAAATATAAAATTATAAAATATCTAACATATAAGAGTTTTAGCAGGGACAAACATAGGTGTAGAGTGTAGTATTGGTGCAGGGCAATAGCCCTGCACCGCGCAAAAAGGAAAAAGAAGCAAGCACCGCACGTTCCCGGGAAGTCGCCCAGCCCAGTACTGATGTGGCCCGCGACTGCTTAATTTCCAGGTTCGGAGTGGAGCTGGATGTTGCCAGCCGGGTGTGGCCGCTTCGAAAGGATTGTTCGTCACACACTATTCACACTACCATTACCACTCTCAATTTCCTCCAGCGGAGGGAGTCTCGCTTATGAAAAATTTTCATTTTTTAATAAAAAATATAAATTATAAAATATCTCAACATATAAGAGTTTTAGCAGGGACAAACATAGTGTAGAGTGTAGTATTGGTGCAGGGCAATAGCCCTGCACCGCGCAAAAGGAAAAAGAAGCAAGCACCGCACGTTCCCGGGAAGTCGCCCAGCCCAGTACTGATGTGGCCCGCGACTGCTTAATTTCCAGGTTCGGAGTGGAGCTGGATGTTGCCAGCCGGGTGTGGCCGCTTCGAAAGGATTGTTCGTCACACACTATTCACACTACCATTACCACTCTCAATTTCTCCAGCGGAGGGAGTCTCGCTTATGAAAAATTTTCATTTTTTAATAAAAAATATAAAATTATAAAATATCTCAACATATAAGAGTTTTAGCAGGGACAAACATAGGTGTAGAGTGTAGTATTGGTGCAGGGCAATAGCCCTGCACCGCGCAAAAAGGAAAAAGAAGCAAGCACCGCACGTTCCCGGGAAGTCGCCCAGCCCAGTACTGATGTGGCCCGCGACTGCTTAATTTCCAGGTTCGGAGTGGAGCTGGATGTTGCCAGCCGGGTGTGGCCGCTTCGAAAGGATTGTTCGTCACACACTATTCACACTACCATTACCACTCTCAATTTCCTCCAGCGGAGGGAGTCTCGCTTATGAAAAATTTTCATTTTTTAATAAAAAATATAAAATTATAAAATATCTCAACATATAAGAGTTTTAGCAGGGACAAACATAGGTGTAGAGTGTAGTATTGGTGCAGGGCAATAGCCCTGCACCGCGCAAAAAGGAAAAAGAAGCAAGCACCGCACGTTCCCGGGAAGTCGCCCAGCCCAGTACTGATGTGGCCCGCGACTGCTTAATTTCCAGGTTCGGAGTGGAGCTGGATGTTGCCAGCCGGGTGTGGCCGCTTCGAAAGGATTGTTCGTCACACACTATTCACACTACCATTACCACTCTCAATTTCCTCCAGCGGAGGGAGTCTCGCTTATGAAAAATTTTCATTTTTTAATAAAAAATATAAAATTATAAAATATCTCAACATATAAGAGTTTTAGCAGGGACAAACATAGGTGTAGAGTGTAGTATTGGTGCAGGGCAATAGCCCTGCACCGCGCAAAAAGGAAAAAGAAGCAAGCACCGCACGTTCCCGGGAAGTCGCCCAGCCCAGTACTGATGTGGCCCGCGACTGCTTAATTTCCAGGTTCGGAGTGGAGCTGGATGTTGCCAGCCGGGTGTGGCCGCTTCGAAAGGATTGTTCGTCACACACTATTCACACTACCATTACCACTCTCAATTTCCTCCAGCGGAGGGAGTCTCGCTTATGAAAAATTTTCATTTTTTAATAAAAAATATAAAATTATAAAATATCTCAACATATAAGAGTTTTAGCAGGGACAAACATAGGTGTAGAGTGTAGTATTGGTGCAGGGCAATAGCCCTGCACCGCGCAAAAAGGAAAAAGAAGCAAGCACCGCACGTTCCCGGGAAGTCGCCCAGCCCAGTACTGATGTGGCCCGCGACTGCTTAATTTCCAGGTTCGGAGTGGAGCTGGATGTTGCCAGCCGGGTGTGGCCGCTTCGAAAGGATTGTTCGTCACACACTATTCACACTACCATTACCACTCTCAATTTCCTCCAGCGGAGGGAGTCTCGCTTATGAAAAATTTTCATTTTTTAATAAAAAATATAAAATTATAAAATATCTCAACATATAAGAGTTTTAGCAGGGACAAACATAGGTGTAGAGTGTAGTATTGGTGCAGGGCAATAGCCCTGCACCGCGCAAAAAGGAAAAAGAAGCAAGCACCGCACGTTCCCGGGAAGTCGCCCAGCCCAGTACTGATGTGGCCCGCGACTGCTTAATTTCCAGGTTCGGAGTGGAGCTGGATGTTGCCAGCCGGGTGTGGCCGCTTCGAAAGGATTGTTCGTCACACACTATTCACACTACCATTACCACTCTCAATTTCCTCCAGCGGAGGGAGTCTCGCTTATGAAAAATTTTCATTTTTTAATAAAAAATATAAAATTATAAAATATCTCAACATATAAGAGTTTTAGCAGGGACAAACATAGGTGTAGAGTGTAGTATTGGTGCAGGGCAATAGCCCTGCACCGCGCAAAAAGGAAAAAGAAGCAAGCACCGCACGTTCCCGGGAAGTCGCCCAGCCCAGTACTGATGTGGCCCGCGACTGCTTAATTTCCAGGTTCGGAGTGGAGCTGGATGTTGCCAGCCGGGTGTGGCCGCTTCGAAAGGATTGTTCGTCACACACTATTCACACTACCATTACCACTCTCAATTTCCTCCAGCGGAGGGAGTCTCGCTTATGAAAAATTTTCATTTTTTAATAAAAAATATAAAATTATAAAATATCTCAACATATAAGAGTTTTAGCAGGGACAAACATAGGTGTAGAGTGTAGTATTGGTGCAGGGCAATAGCCCTGCACCGCGCAAAAAGGAAAAAGAAGCAAGCACCGCACGTTCCCGGGAAGTCGCCCAGCCCAGTACTGATGTGGCCCGCGACTGCTTAATTTCCAGGTTCGGAGTGGAGCTGGATGTTGCCAGCCGGGTGTGGCCGCTTCGAAAGGATTGTTCGTCACACACTATTCACACTACCATTACCACTCTCAATTTCCTCCAGCGGAGGGAGTCTCGCTTATGAAAAATTTTCATTTTTTAATAAAAAATATAAAATTATAAAATATCTCAACATATAAGAGTTTTAGCAGGGACAAACATAGGTGTAGAGTGTAGTATTGGTGCAGGGCAATAGCCCTGCACCGCGCAAAAAGGAAAAAGAAGCAAGCACCGCACGTTCCCGGGAAGTCGCCCAGCCCAGTACTGATGTGGCCCGCGACTGCTTAATTTCCAGGTTCGGAGTGGAGCTGGATGTTGCCAGCCGGGTGTGGCCGCTTCGAAAGGATTGTTCGTCACACACTATTCACACTACCATTACCACTCTCAATTTCCTCCAGCGGAGGGAGTCTCGCTTATGAAAAATTTTCATTTTTTAATAAAAAATATAAAATTATAAAATATCTCAACATATAAGAGTTTTAGCAGGGACAAACATAGGTGTAGAGTGTAGTATTGGTGCAGGGCAATAGCCCTGCACCGCGCAAAAAGGAAAAAGAAGCAAGCACCGCACGTTCCCGGGAAGTCGCCCAGCCCAGTACTGATGTGGCCCGCGACTGCTTAATTTCCAGGTTCGGAGTGGAGCTGGATGTTGCCAGCCGGGTGTGGCC